AATGAACGACTATTGTTTCATTAGTAAAATTCTTAGTGATCTTGGGGCAAAATTGATCAACTCCGGCCCTTCCGACCGGAGTTCCGAAGCTTCCGACCCGGAATTTTGGAGATCTCCCTGTAGAAGTTCACCATATCAAATAATATAAGAACATCCCAGCACCCTTTCACATATCTTTAATTTGCAAAAGATATGTGAAGAGTAGTAGTTCAAACATGGATCAAATAATGAAACCAAAATAACTATGTTAATTCATTTTGCATTGTACTCTTTTATTATTTAAAAAGTAACCTATTTGTACTCTGATTATAAAAAAATAAATAAAAATGTTTTATTAATAACAATAATAATCAATTGAACTCTTTCCAATGATCACTTAGACTAAAATTTCCACTAATAAAAAACAGAAAAATTTGTTGAAGAGTCATAGTCTATTGGTGGTTTGTCTAGAGGTCAACTCTCTGCTATGAGGGACTTTTCTACAAGGAACATTTGGCATGCAAGCCAAGAGTGTTATTATACAAGATAACTAGTAGGGGGTGCCCTTATATAAAAAATTTTGGTGGCAGGTGAGTTAAAACTAGTGTCGTCAATAGAGCTTTTAGGTCGTTACTTCAAAGAAGAACACTGGAAAAACAACAAATTATATGTTGCTCTGAAATCATACTCTTTTTTTTGTCTCAAGTAGCTTTTCTATTACTTATTTTCATCTTCCTGCCTTTCTTCTTCTAAAAAATATCAAAAAAGTGGGAATTTGGCTTACTCTCTCCAAAATATTAGCATTGTTTATATCCAAATCTGAACAAACTTAGTATATTATAACTAATGTGTCTTGTTTATTAGAAGATACAGCATTACTCCATATGACTTAGATCGGGGTCTTGGGTTAAAGAGGTATCTGGATTTGGCTAGTAGTTTGAAGGTATACATTAAGGCTTAGCTTTAGAATTAAGATATACAATAGTTGTAGTTGTTATAAAATTTTTATTGTAACTTGGCACAGGTTATAATAGTATATTTTTCTTGTTTGTGGCAGCCTTCAGGTTGCTTAATTACTTCTTTATAGAGGTAGCACCCCACTTTGTCAGCCTTCTTGGCTTTTCTCTGTTTTTTTTTTTTTACATATCTTTTTCCCTCTTTTTTTTTCTTTAAAATTTCCCTTGTTTATTTTGTTTTGTTATTAGATATATTTCTTTTTTTTTTTATAATCGGTGGCTTTGTAGTGTTAATATAAAATCACCACTTTCTTTTGCTCTTGGTAAAGAAAGAAGAATTAAAGAGATTTGCTCTTGATGGGCTAACAAGATCTACCTAACTTGTATACAAGATGGTGCAATGAGTCACTTATGAGCATGGTTTTTGCAGCCAGAAGATGTCAAGCTTGCAATTTAAAAGCTTAGTTTAGTTGAAATGGTTTATCATTGTTGATTAAATAAATAAAGTTTTGTATTTGAGCTTTGACAAGACTGTCAAAAAGTTAAAAAAAAAAAAATAACAATAATAATTTTTTCAAATTTATTTGTACAAGAAAATTTTAAATATTCAATAGTTTGTACATTTACAATATTGTTAATTTGTAAAGGATTAAAAGCTTAGTATTATTTTAAGCTGGAATCGGTATTAATATACCATTGTCATCATATTTTGCCTAAACCATTAATAATTATATTAATATTCTTGTTGAATGGTAAAGGGAACATAGCACAAAATTTTTACCTTGAAAAATGTATAAGATAGGGTGACAGTATCCACATCTTTCATCAATGGATCATGTTCAATTTCTGGATCAATAAAAAAAAACACTGGCATATCCAATTGTTCTCCAGCTCCTAACATCTGCTCTTCAAAACAAAAACATTGTATTTTATTAAAGTATGGTGCCACCTTGGATGGTGTTACATTATATGTTGCCATACCAATAATATCATGGTTTGATACATTCTTTGCAGTATAAAATGCCAGTGCAGTCTCTCCTGGTAAAACACGGACCTCATGTTGTTGAGGAATAAAAGACCAGTTAAGGGCACGTGAAGTATCTGCATTGAATGTTACCTTTATTCGACGAGATTTCTTGGATGGCACAAGGCGATTGGGGTTTATTGTTGAGGTTCCTGTCATTGGTGTTCCACTGAAACCTGTTGTTTGACAAAATATTCGATAAAGAGGTGCTGATGCATATGTAAAGCCTATTCCAAATACTAGAACCGCTGTGGTATACAACAATAATGACTTATTCTTTCTCGAATATTTTTGGCTGTATCGTGTATAGTTATTAGGTGAAACTGTTTTTGTAAATGTTGAAAGACGATGCCTAAAGCCGGTGAAAGATGAAAGGTGATACCCCTGGCAAAAAGTGAAACCCCTGGCAAAAGGTGGAACCCCTGGTGAAAAGTAAAATCCCTGGTGAAAAGCAAAGCTTCTGGAAAATGTCATCTTGAAGTTAGATTAAAAAATTAGAGGTGAAACTATTTTAGTATATTATTGTTAAATGTAATAGCTGTTAGACAAGAAACGTGAGAAATATACATTACTAAAATATTTTAAATTTACAATTTAAATGTAATTTACTAATGATCGAGATGTTGTTTAGTCATTGTATTTAATTGAAGTGATCCTTAATAGTGATTTAATCGAAAATTGAAAAATTGGTCAGTCGATAACTAATCGATTTAAACTTTCGAAGCAACTAATCGTTGAATAACGATAAAAAATTTTATTCATTTTGTAAATCTATACGTGAAACTTAACCAATCAAATCCCTTTTACATCTGGATATGGCAATGTTATACATTTTTTGATATCGAACTTTTTTAAGACTATCTAATGCTTTCCTTTATCTCACACAACTATAGAGCCAGCAAGTAGTGTTGCTATAAGGGAGACAGTTCTGAAGATTGGTGACTTAAAAGCGATGGGTTTAATACATAATACCCCTGTTGGCGCTG